CCGGAGTTCCAGAGCATCAGCCAGCAGCTGAGCTACCTGAGCCAGTACCACGTCATGGACGCGGCCCAGCACCTGTCGGACTTGATCCAGGATCTGGCGGCGCTGGAGAGGGAGAAGCGGAGGAGATGAACGAGGATAACGACGCGACGGCGACTCCACCTCCTCCTGAACGTCCCGAACCTTCCGAACTTCCAGATCTCCCAAGACTTCCCGAACCACCTGAACTACCTGAACGGCTTCCTGGATATGGGCCCCAGCGGACCCGCGCTCGCCTACGTCGTGGTGGCGGCCCCATGGCCGGTGGAGCGTGCCTTGCTGAGTACGACTCGGATGCGGTGTAGCCTATGCGTGGTTAACGGGACGCTCCCGCGGGAAGGAGATCAACCTGACGGACCTGACCAAGGCCGAGCGGAAGGAGTTCGACGCGAGCATGGCCATGGAGTGGGAGAACTGGCGCAACTTCAGGGCGGTGACCGTGGTCGTCGGAGACGATGCGAAGGAGCTGCTGAAGAGGGCGAAGCCTATTCCGCCGAGGTGGGTTCACACCAACAAGAACGAGTACGACCCCAAGCTACCGCTCAAGGCGAAGTCGAGGCTGGTGGCGGTTGGCTGCTACGAGTCGGTGCATGTCCGGACGGATTCGCCCGCGTCTTCCCTGCTGGTGTTCCACTTGATCTGCAGCACGGCGGCTAGGAAGCACTGGCTACTATCGAAGCTCGACGCGACGAGCGCCTACCTACAAGGAGATGATGTTGATCGTATGCTGGTGCTACGACCGCCCGCACCGCTACCTCCTGGAGTACCACCTGGTTCCCTGTTTGTGTGCCACGGAGCGATCTATGGTACTGAGGACGCTGGACGGAAGTGGTGGAGTAAGCTACGAAGGACGCTGCGCGGCAACTCGTGGCAGGAGAGCCGCTTGGAGAGAGCCTTCTTCATGCTCTTCGAGGGTGACATCCTCGTTGGCCTTATCGGCACCTACGTGGACGACCTGTTCGCGACCGGGGATCCGAACAGCAAGCTCTACAACGACACGATGGACGAGCTCAAGAAGGCACTACTCTTGACGGAAGAGAAGCCGCCCTTCAGGTACTGCGGCAAGGACGTGGAGCAGGCAAGGGACTTCTCGATCAAGGTCTCGATGCAGCACTTCGTGGAGCAGATGGAGGAGTTGCCGATGCTACCGGCAAGGCGGAAGCAGATCAAGGCGCTGGCTACGGACGAGGAGAAGAGCTTTGCAGAGTCGGTGATTGGTTCACTGGGATGGCTTTCGCGACAGCTGCGGATGGACGTCTCTTTCGGCTACAGTTGGCTCGCCTCGCGCAGCAGAAGAACACCATGACGGTGCAGGACCTACTGGAGATGAACAAGCTGGTGCGGTACTGCCACGAGACGAAGGACGTGTGCCTACACTTCCGTAGCGACTTCATCAAGAACGACACCGACCTTCGTGGGTGTGTGTTCGCCGACAGCAGCCTCAACAACATCGACGAGAAGAAGTTCGGAGCGCTGGGCGAGAAGGTGAAATCGCAGTGCGGTTTCGTGTGCCTGGTGTGCGACGACGGCCTGTACAAGGACGGTGGTGGACCTGCTCATTTCTTGGACTGGGGCAGCTCCAAGATTCGGAGAGTCTGCCGGGCATCGATGGCGGCAGAGGCCCACGGCTTGACCGAAGGCGCGGAGGCGCTGGAGTGGGTCAGGGCGTTGTACTACGAGATGGACAAGCCGAACCAGCCGATCGCAGAGTTGGTTCACGACAGTGCGACGTTGATGCCTGCCAAGTGGTTCGACGACGCTAACAGCCTGGTGAGCCACTTGTTGGCGGACGCTGGTCAGGTTGCCGATCGCCGTGTTCGTGTGGTGGTGGCCTCGCTTCGAGAGCTTCTAAGCCAAGATGGAGTCGACTTGGAGTGGTGCGACACCAGTGTGCAGCTTGCAGACGCGCTGACGAAGCTCGAAGCGGAGAGAAGCTACCTGACGAACGCCATGCGCGACGGCTACGTGACGACGACTGTGTCCTCCGAGGCGGCGGCCACGAAGGAGGCCATCCGTGCTGCACGGCGGCGCCGTGCTGACGAGCGCAGGACCCAGCCCGTTGCATCTGTGCGCGAGAGCCTGTCCTGTGCGGTGCGAGCTTCGCGCGGGGGTCAGCCCCGCGTGGCCTGAGTGCGATCTTGTCAGGTCGACTCTTGTGTGCTCTTCGTGCTTCGCGTGGGGACCAGCCCCGCGTGGCCTGAGTTGCGATCTACCCAGGTCGCCTTTCGTGTTCGGCCCAGCTGGGCCATTTCCTTATCAATGAAGCTACGCTCGAGATTTCGTGTTTCGGGCCAGAGCGACAGCGAGGACGGGTGTTGAAATCGACACTGTCTCCCTGGCCCCCCAAGATGCCCCTCTCGCCGACGCCGATTCGACCGCAACCGTTTCGGTTTCAGAGCTCTTGAGCTTCGGGCAGAAAAGACTTTCAGCTTTCTTGTGACGGCAGCGGCCGTCAGTTGAGACTACTACTTCGACTACGACTGCGACTGCGACTACCTCTGCTACGACTAGTACAACAATAAATTCTACTACTACTACTACTACTACTACTACTACTACTACTACTACTACTACTACTACTACTCCTACTATCACTACCACTACCACTACTACTACTACTGTTACTACTACTACTACTACTGCTGCTGCTATTGCGACTACGATTAGTACTAATACCACCACTATTGCTACGACTACGTCAACGACAACGACTACTACTACTAAAACTACTACCACTACTAAGACGACGACGACTACTACTACTACTACTACTATTACTACTACTACTACTACTACTACTACTACTACTGGAACGGCTACGACTACTACTGCTGCGACTACCACTACTACTCCTACTTCTACTACTACTACTACTACTACTACTACTGCTACTGCTGCTGCTACTACTACTACTACTGGTACTACTACTACTGCTGCTACTACTACTACTACTACAACGGCTACAACTACGACGACTACGGCTACGAGTGCGACTACGACTACGACTACGACTACGACTACTACTACTACTACTACTACGACGACGACGACGACTCCTACTACTACTACTACTACTACTACTACCACTACCACTACCACTACCACTACCACTACCACTACCACTACCACTACCACTATGATTATTACGGCTACTACTACTACGACTACTACGGCTACGACGACGACGACGACGACGACGACGACGACGACGACGACTACTACTACTACTACTACTACTACTACTAATGCTGCTACTACTACCACCACTACCACTACTACTACTACTACTACTACTACTACTACTGCTACTACTACTACTGCTACTACTACTACTACTCATACTCATACTCATATTCATACTACTACTACTACTACTACTACTACTACTACTACTACTACTACTACTACTACTACTAATGCTGATATAACCACCACTGCTATTACAACTGTAAGTACACTTTCAACAGAAGCGAAACGGATAACGCCCCCCTCCCCCCCCCCCGCGCGCCGCCCTCTGGTGTCGAGGCAATCGCCCCCCCTCTCCTCCGCACCCCCTCTGGCGTCGAAGCAATGCCACGCCTGCCACGGCCTGCGAGTTTGAAACGGGTACCGCCCCCACCCCCAACGAACGCCCTCTGGCATCGAAAAAGTGCAGCGCCTGTCGCGCCCTGCAACCCTGAGGCGGATAACGCCCTCCACCGTCTGCGCACCCCCTCTGGCATCGAGGCAGCGCCACGCCTGCCACGCCTTGCGAACCTGAGGCGGATAGCGCCCCACCCCCAGCAAACCCCCTCAGGCATCAAATCAGTACCACGCCTGCCACGCCCTGCGAGCCTCAGCCGGATAACGCCCCCACCCCCAGCGCACCCCCCTGGTGTTGAGGAAATGCCGCGCGTGCCACGCCCCGCGACACTGAGACGGATAGCGCCCCCACCCCCAGCGCACCCCCTCTGGTGTCGAAAAGGTGCAACGATTGCCGTGCCCCACGCGCCTGCAACACATGGCGTGCGCACCCCCTCTGGTGTCGAGAATGTGCCACGCCCGCCGTGCCCTGCGAGCCTGCGACGCATAGAGACCGCACTCCCTACGCAACCCCTCTGGTGTCGAGAAAGTACCACGCCTGCCGTGCCCTACCATCCTGCAACGCATAGAGATCGCACCCCCTCCCTCTGGTGTCGAGAAAGTGCAAGTCTTCCGTGCCCCGCGAGCCTGCAACTCATGGAGACCGCGACGCCTGCCGCGCCCTGCGAGCCTGCGACGCAAAGAGGCCGCACCCCCTGCGCACCCCCTCTGGTGTCGAGAACGTGCCACGCCTGCGGTGCCCTGCGAGCCTGCAACGCATAGAAACCGCACCCCCTGCGCACCCCCTCCGGTGTCGAGAAAATGCCACGCCTGTGGTGCCTTACGTCTGTGTCCGTGTCTGTGTTGTGTGGTGTGTGATGTGTAAGTATATGATGTGTGTGTGTGTGTATGTGCGCGGCCGTGTCTGTGTGTGTTTGTGTCTGCGTGTCTGTGTGTCTGTGTGTCTGTGTGCGTCTGTGGGGGAGGAAGGAAGAGCAGGGGGAAAGGAGGAGGGAGGTGAGGTGTGTGAGCTTCGCGGGTGCGACGCGGGTGGGAAGAAAACAATGACCCCACTTGAGCATGTGGAAAGGGCACACCCTGCAGGTTTGGTTGACGGCACATCGTCCCCAAGACAACCCAAGGGATTAATGTACGGCACGGGGGGGACGAGAATGGCTGATCTGGTGCGCCACAGCTGGCTCATGGACCGCGCAGGTCTTGAACCACCGCGGGGAGCGGTGGTATCTGATCGCGTGGCTCTCACCCACTTGGTCGACTGACCTAAAGAAACTCCAAGGGGGGAAATTCAAGACTCCGTCTCCTCCTCCCCTCTATCTCCTCCACCCTCCACCCTCGTCCTCGGCGTCGCCCTCATCCTGTCCACGTGCAAGGAGCATCGGGACCTCCATCGCGAACTTCAGGCTCTGAAGCGCGCCAGGCACGGCGAGCTCGTAGTTCCCCTGCACCAGAAACTTCTGTGCCGTCTCTGTGCACAGCTGGAGCAGCTCCTCTCTACCGACCGGGGGCAGTCCCACAGCACTCCCACGCATGCGCCCCTCACCGCCTCTCGCCCCTCCTGCCTGCCCTGGCTCCTGCACGATCGGATCTGGTCGGCTCGGGATTGTGCTTGCGTCCCGGGGGCGCACGCCACCAGCGCAGCGGATACGCGCGTGCCTGCAGGCGAGACGGACGAGGACGAGGGCGACGAGGAGGAGGAGGAGGACTCCAGAAGTTATCGAGAAGTGGTCTCTCGTAGGTTCGAGGAGGAAATGATCTCTGTGCTAGATCAATTCTGTCGTCGATCCCCTGTTTGAGCGCTGGCGGGAATGTCGCCAGCAACGGGGCTCAGCAGACGACGGCCGAGGCTCCTTGCGGATGCCCATCAGCTCCTCGGCCCGCCGGTCGCGCTCCACCTCGCTGCCGATGGCCTTCGGCCGCTCGCGCAGCACCTCGATGTCCTTGGCGATGAGGTTGCGGATCCCGCGCCAGTCGATGTCGAAGTGCTCCTGGGCGCGCGCCGCTCCTGCGCCCTTATTTGCCGACGTCCTTTGAGAGAGTAGGAGCTTTTGCCCCATATGAAGACTGGAGTGCGTAGCTGTGGCTCTCCTCTCTCCTCTCTCCTCCCCCTCCTCCTCCGCCTCCTCCTCCTCCTCCTCCTCCTCCCCCTCCTCCTCCCCCTCCTCCTCCCCCTCCTCCTCCTCCTCCTCCCTTTGTGTGTTTAACACGCGCCGCCGTTGCCAATGCAGCGCGCCTCTCTAGTGAGCAATTTGGCTGCTCACGGTCTCACCCTGCTCGCGCGCCATCCAGACGCAAGGCGCCTGAACTGGACTGAACCTTTCCGTCCAGGCGAGAACCCATTCAGAATCTGCCTCCCCAAACACACCGCCAAACGCAGTCCTGCTCGGCTGCACGAGCCAGGTGCAGCCTCGGTGACGACGCCCCCCCCCGCGCCAACGCAAGCTGAAGCTCCCCCCCGAACCGCCGCAAGATGAGAGCAATCTCCTGATAGCGCTGTGCTGCTCGGCACAGGGCGTGCGCTGGCAGCCAACTGCCCTCAGTTGCGCCGCTCCCCTCCAGGCTGCCCCAACAGCCCAGCGATTGGCGCACGCCGCAGAATCTTGCCGCTCCATCTCGGGGCCAACCTGCGGCGGACTCCACCACAGGGACGCGGCCCACGAGACTCCCTGGAGTCCTGGGGAGAGATAACGCACGTCCCCTGTCGCAGGCCACGCCACGGTGCGCAGACTGCTCCAATCTCACGGCCAGAGCTTCTGGCACGTGCGGGCCCGGGCTCATACGGATCGAGCAAGGACATGTAAGCAATAGCGTCGGGATTACACTCGAAAGGTGGGTCAATCGGCATGGGGCGTGCAAAATCATTGAGTCACACATTCGACTGTGAAGAGCAACACGTGAGAGAGCTAATCAAGCATGCTTGACAGCTATTGTCTTAGCGTGTGCTTTGAGTAAACGGATTGATACCACATGCCTAGCCCCACCTGTGAAAGCACGGTGGTTTGGTGCGAGCAGGTTCAATACAACCATACAAATCACACTGAAGTCACTAACACTACATAAGAAATCATGTGCAACAAACATGTCCTGGCAGTGATGAGCAAACCCAGTGGACACACCTGTTTGTGAACATATCGCATGTTGATTCTTGGACCGTGGCACCACGATCTGCGTGAGGGGTGTGTCCGAGTATCAGGACTTCCACGACCACCCATGCGAAAATGACGCTCCAAACATGGACGCGAACAACTGAACGGCCCTGAACTCTGCTCCCTTGGGACGCGCGTGCGACAGCAATCCCCGCACGGCAAGTTCGTGCCGGGAGGACCTGGGCGTTGCTTTCTGATACTGCCTGGATTGTCCCATCCTGAACTATCGGCGGCTTTTCGCTCCCCAGATCCTTCCACCTGGGCCAGCTGTGAGCACCTGGCGGCGTTCCGACCTCGGATGCCCGCGGCGGGTGTCGCCGCCGCGTCGGCACGGCGCGAATCTGCCGCGCCTCAGGCGCCCGGTGCCTGGCGGCCCGCGCGGGCCAGCGCGCCTTGCCACGCCCGACGTGATCGCCGGCCCGGGGCCCGCTGTGCGGGCGGAGGGCCCCGCACAGAAGCACTCGGCCCAGCCGCTCCGCCGTCGGGCCGAGCCAGCCCAACTCTGGGAGGCCTGGAAGTGAGCGCCGACACCAGCACAGGGGGAAGCCTCCAACGACGAGAGAGGATGATCCTAGATGTTGGTGTCGGTGTCTATATTTCAGCCGTCTAAGGAGCCCAAACATATTGCCACCATCGCCGAGGTCGGGCTCCTTTCCATCGGTGGAGGCGCACCACCGATGCTGGTGCTGGTGTTAACCTTTAGGCCTCCGAAACACCCGCGTCCACCTCAAGACACGAGCCCGCGGCTCGTTGCGCCGGTCAGAAACCAACCCCAGTGAGAGTGGGAACTGCGGTGAGGAACTTTTGCTCAGCGCGTCGCGGTGTCGGCCCTTGCGACACGCCGTGTCCTGCGGGCTGATGGCGTCTCGCTGCGCTCCGGGGCGTTGACCCGTTAGGAATGGGACGTGGTCAGCGTGTCGCGCCTAAGCGTGGTAGGCCAGGGCCCGAAGAGCGGCACTCTAAACAAACGTTCCTGACCTTGAGACTGGCGCCCTACTCAAAACTCCAACATCGTGATACAACGTCGACGTCGACTGCTAAAAGCCTGGACCCCTTCCTCGGGACGGTTTTCTTATCCTATTTGTTTTACGGTCCCACACCCTGAAACCGAAAACGGCTAAATACTTCCCGTCGTGTAATTTTCTTATTCCCTACCTAGGCTCTACCTAGAAGGGTTCTTACTCTCTAGCTTAAAGGGGCCGGGCAGTGGAAAGCGCCCCGGGCGGTTCCTCCAGTCCCCGCCCCGCGGTTCCCCCCAGTCCCCTGGGAGCTTTAGCTTTAGCTTTAGCTTAGCTGTAGCTTAGCTTTAGCTTAGCGTTTCGCTTAGCTTTCCGCTTAGCGTTTAGCTTAGCTTTAGCTTAGCTTGAGCTTAGCTGTAGCTCAGCTTTAGCTTAGCTTTAGCTTAGCTTTAGCTTAGCTTTAGCTTAGCTTTAGCTTAGCTTTAGCTTAGCTTTAGCTTAGTTGTAGATTAGCTTTAGCTTAGCTGTTGCTCAGCTTTAGCTTAGCTTTAGATTAGCTTTAGCTTAGCTTTAGCTTAACTTTAGCTTAGCTGTGGTTTAGCTTTAGCTTAGCTTTAGCTTAGCTTTAGCTTAGCTTTAGCTTAGCGTTACTGTTACTACTAATGCTGCTTTCCTAGGGGTTCCAACTCCTAGGTAGGGTCGCACTGGGATATTTTTTTTACGACAGAAGGAGGTGGGGGCGATTTGCGGGGCCCTCTGGGCGACCACCAGAAGGCCGCCGGCCAGGGGCAAGCAAGGCTTGGGGCCCTGTGAGTGGTGCCCCATATGGGTCACTGGAGGGCTGCTGGCGCCAAGGAGCAGCTGAGGCCTAAATCTGATGGGCGGCGGGACCGCACGGGTCGTTACGGTCATCGTGCTACCACAAGGGATGCCGAATAAGGAACGCGGGGGCTCTTCAGGCCACGGCGAGCCTCCGTCACGGGCGGGTCACCCGACCCACAGGTAAGGCACGGCCCGAGAACCGGGGCCCCTCCTGGTTCCAAAGCGGTGCTTTTTCCAGCGCCTGGGCTGAAGCGAAGGCCACAACCCAGAGGCAATCAAAACCAGAGATCTCATGGAACCCTCTGGGCCACCGCCAAGAGGCCAACGCCCAAGGTGAAATCCAGCACTGCCTGGGGAGAGCAGCAACACAACAACACCGGATAATAATCCCAGTCGTTGGGATTCCTGGAATTTTCGCATGCACTCCACGCCTGCCTTCTCCTTTTTGTTTGTTTCTCTCTCTCTCTCTCTCTGTCTATGTCTCTCTTCCTCTCCCTCAATCTTTATCATATCACCTTTTTGGATGGTCTCTCTCTCTCTCTCTCTATATATATATATATATCTCTCTCGTTCTCTCTCTCTCTCTCTCTCTCTTTTCTCTATGTTTTTCAATCGTCCGACTATGTGTTTACTTGATCTGCCCTCACACCTCGCTCTGCACTCTCTTGTCACATACCTACTCTGAGCGATGTGTGCGAGTACATTATCTATACACACGTATCACTCAGGGACACGATCAGGATCTCAAAGGGCTCCTCTGGGAATCTCTCAGGCATCCTCGGATCTCCCAGGTATCCTCTGAAGATCCCTCAATGGTCTTCAAGGGATGAATCAGGCATCCTCTCAGGACCCCTCAGGGATCCTGTATTGATCTTTCAGGGATACTGTGCACCCTGTAAGGATATTGCAATAATTCGATACAGATCGCTCAAAGATCTTGTAGGGATCTTTCAAGGATCATGTACGGATCTTCCAGGGATCCTGGAATGATCCCTTAGCGGTAATGTAAACAGATCTCTCAAGGGTCCTGCAAGGATCTGTCAGGGATCCTATATGAGTCGTCCAGGGCTACTGTAAGGATCTGTCAGGGATCGTCCAAGGCTCCTGGAAGGACCTTTCAAGGATCCCCCCATGATCTCCCACACAACTCTCATGGTGGTTCGCATTGGTACCTAAATGGTTGGAACTTGCCTCCACCTCCTCCTTCTCCTCCTCCTCCTCCATCCCCTCCTCCTGCTCCTGGTGCTACTGCTCCTCCTCGTTCCCACATGGCCGACGGCAGGGTAAGGTCATCACCGTCCTGGGTGCAGTAGAACGACGGGCACTCCTGGGAATCCACGCTAGACGGCAGGTGGGCGGAAGGGAAGAACAACTGGAATCTGGGAAATGGTGATTAGGAGCATGATGATGACAACGGAGGCGATCTGGAATTACACGTGGGGGAAAATGACGACGAGAGCGAGAGGGCTTGGAGACAGGGGGGAAGATGAGGTGTGAGGAGAAGAGCAGGACAAACGATTGTAGGTTGGACGAGCAGGAGAAGCAAAAAGAGCAACAGGGAGGAGCATGAAGACGAGGCGGAGTGATTGACAACAGTGCCGTGCCCCCACGGAACCGCAGGGGAGGACGTGTGCAATGACGGTCCGCACGAAAAACCATTCGGCGAGGGCTGACTTGGTAAAGGGCTTCTTCGTCGAAAAAATACACACGTTCGAGCCATGCCAAGATGATGCTTCACCATCTGTCGGTGACGGCCGTTACCAGGGGCGCAGGGTGGGGGTGTGGGCGGGCGGCCCTGGTACCAAGCCCTATCGCGATCAATTAAGCAACGAGTTCAACCGCAATGCCCACCCTTCAGAGCCCACTGGAGTCCGAGCACTTCAGTGCCGCCGGCTTCCCGCAGACCTCGCACTCGTACTTGGTGCCCTTGGGCCTGGCGAGCTGGTTGATGGGCACGGCCGACATCGCGGGCAGATCCTCTCGGGCATGCTGGATACGACCAGCCTGTCCCTCCTCACTGCCCAACTCCTTCCCCTCCTCCCCTGCGCCATTCTGATTCCTCCCCCCCCTCGCCCTCCCGCTCCCGTTCCTCCTCGTCCTCCTCCTCCTCCCCTCCACCCTCGCCCTGAACTTCCCTCTCCTCTCCCGCCCTCCTCCTCCTCCTCCTCCTTACTTACTTACTTACGCTTGCGCCGAAGGAGGCGAGCACGCCTCCGCGGTGCCTCTTCCACACGCCGCGCCTCACCGCCCGCGCCGCCAGGCGCCCGCGGCCGACGTCGCCACCGAACGTCCACGGCCATCGTTGTCGTCGTTGCCTCGTCGTCGTCGAGGCTCGTCGTCGGGCCATCGGACGTCGACGAGACGACACGACCAGCCCTCCGCGAGAGACTCTGCGGGGAGCTGACATCGCCACAACCCTCGGAGGCGTTGGGCCCATGGGGGGGGCCCGCTCCTCCTCCTCCTCCTCCTCCTCCTCCTCCTCTGTTTTTTCCTCTTCTTCTTCTTCGTCCCCTTCCTCCTTCTCTTCCTCTTCCTCTTCCTCATCGTCTTCCTCTTCCTCTTTGTCCTCGTCCTCGTCGTCGTCGTCGTCGTCCTCCGCCTCCTCCTCCTCTACATCCTCTTCCTCCTCCTCCTCCTCAACCTCCTCCCCACTCCTTCCCCTCCTCGCCATGCTCCTCCTCCCCCTCCTCCGAGCCCTCGCCCTCGCCCTCGCCCTCGCCCTCGCCCTCGCCCACCTCCTCCTCTTCCTCCTCGTCGTCATCCTACTCCTCCCCTCCCCCATTCTACATTACCTTTTCTGTCCTCTCCTTCTGCCTATCTCTCTCTCTCTCTCTTTCGCTTTCTCTCTCTCTCTCTCTCTCTCTTCCTCTCACCCCCTCGCTCTGTTTTCTTTTTTGTTTTCTATATACCTCTCCCTCTCTCTTTCTTTAATTTTGGTTCGAGAACGCCCGTGCTCAGGGCGAACCGTGACACGTACATCCCCGCACCCATTTCCGCCTGGGAAGACCAAAGCCGCGCCGCACAGCGCGGTACTGGTGCGTGCCCCATGTCATCCCCCTTCAGTATTCGCGCGCGCCGTGGTTCCGAAAGGCCCTCGCCGCGCGCCTCCTGCACCAAGGCCGCCCAAGACACTAGGCAAGGGTCGTCAGAAGACCGCCTTACCCGAGCGCAGCCTGGTTCGAAAGGAATTCTGCGTCGCTGCACTCCAGAGCGGGGGCGGCGTCGACGGAGCAGTCGCTGCAGGCAACGGTCTCGCTCACAAACACCAAGCTGACCTCGATACCATGTACGAAGAATACCGTTCCGACCAGCCAAAGCTCTGGGGCGAGCTAGTGAGATTGCGCAGGAAGAGCAAAATCGACCACACCATGCTGCATCACTCCTTTCACCCGTAGAAAAGCACAGACCGTGACACCGAACCAGCTGCTGCCACGGTCGACGCCGAAGCCCACCAGGGCAATGGCACGGCCCCTCTCATCAGCCTTGACGCGCAAAACTGGGACGTCCCTGTTACTGCAGCGCCCGACATGGACGGTGAGGGAATGCCATGCACCAACAGCATCTAATTCCACCTGATCCAAAAAATCCGCACTCAGGACAACCCTCTAGACTTCGCAACTCTGTGGCCCATCAGCACGGGCTACCCCTGCAGAGAAATACTCATCCCAGTACTGCAGCGCACGGCGAAAGCTACTGGACACACGCCAGCTCCATGGAACCATCTACCAACTTGGACGTGAAGAGGTCAGGTGCCTCCAAAACGTCGTGCAAGACAAACTCGACCCAGCCGATCAGGTCGTCTGGATCCGCGCGGCCATTTGTGAAGTGGATGTCATCGCTGTTGCGCCTGCGCTCGAAGAATTATTCACCACCGAATTGTCCGGCGCCGCACAAATCGATAGAGGCCGCTATCCAAGCGGACCAGGCACGGGACAACAACAGGCACACGAGCGCGACAAATCAACCAAGAAAGGTGCTGCACGCGTCCAGGCGGACGAAGACCTCGCCGACGCCCTCACGACCGCGTTCGCGCCCCATTTCTGTGCCGAAATGGAGCCCCCAAAGCGCCAGGGCACAGCTGTCGGTAAATACAAGCTAACGGCTACCTTCGGCATCGAGCCAGCCGACGTCCCTTTGGCCCTCTCTGCCTTGGGCAATTCGACATCAGTTACCACGGCTCCACAGGGCCCCAGCCCAGTGAGTGCACCATCGTGCGGTGCACTGAAGGTCGCCAGACCGTGCTCCAAGAAGCCCACCAAACCTCCGCCAAGCACAACGCCTTCAAAACAGCAAGGGCGAACAAAAGAGTGGGCATCAAGGTTCAGTCGGACACCCGGGAGGCGAAACTCGTGGCCCTCGAATTTGCGTGGCACCAACGCAGCACTGGCCAACCCCAAGTACCACATCGCAGGAATTGAACCACAGAGTGCTACCAAAACACAAATCACTGAGGTGTCCAAATCCATCAAGTGGCACTTCTTTGAGGTACAGCGCAAAGGCTGGGACGAACCCACCATGCGGTGACTTCGCCATAGTCAGAGCGGCCAGTCTTCCGCCGAACTCTACTATGCACCTCCACGGGTCTACCACCCCCTGGATCACCGCCAGGTTGGAGACGAAATCCCGAGCCGAGGCGGACCAACCGAAAAGCACCGCTGCCACGATCGTCTCACCAGAGACTCGCTCACGGGAGGGACATGGACCGACCCCGCCCCAGTCCCTACAGGACTGGGCGGTAGCCAGACCTCAGCTGCAAGCGCTGCTTCAACCACCAGCAAGCCAAACGGCGCCGCCGCCACCGCCGAACACCCCGCCACCAAGGAAGAAGCAGCGCAGCACCAGCGGGCCGGATTCTCGCAAACGAACCGTCAGCTTGAAGAAGGAAACCACTGCGCACATCGACGACAGCCACACCGCCATAAAGGACGCAACCGACTGCGACATGGAGGGAGGGGCCGACGAAATCGAAGCCGCCGACGCCCCCTCCCCTGTCCGCCAACGAGCGGCACGCGGCAACCGTCTACGATGAAATCTTCGACGAGGAATGGCTCTTTCAACCGGGAATGCATGGCATCTCCGATCAAGCTGACGCGAGGATCCAGGGGCTCAACGCTGATCAACAACAGGTCGCCGAGACGGTTAAGCGACCCGAAACTACCGTCACCAGTGTGGCCGCCAGCCAAGCCATTCTGGCGCATCTGCCACCGCCTGGATCAAGGGGCCCACGCGGTCCAATCCGAACAGACCATCCTGAACACAGACCTGCAGGCCTTCAAGCGCCAAGTGGCGCCCCCATCACACTGGCCCAAGCCCCTGCGGGGCAAACGGCCCGACTCCCCAATCTTGGCGACACCCCCCGCGGGCTCATGCAGCGAGGCCAATCCTAAGGGCCCGCAAGGCAACCAGGATGCAGAAGGAGGCGCGCACGCAACCGACCAGGAGGCAGGCAATGGGCGGCCCATCACCACCCCCGCCGGATGATATTGCAGGGGGAGAAAGGCACAGATCCCAACTGGACGGTGCAGATCCCATTCTGACGGTCCAGATCCCAATCGGTAGTTAAAGAAGAACGTCCAGATCCCAACCGCTCTTGTTTGAGCTTCCAAGCGCTTGACACGCTTGGAAGGCGCTACGTTGGCGCTTGATAAGCGCTTCCGTGAAGGCGCCTCCTCGGCTGCGTGAAAGGTTATCGTGGGTTCCTCTAAGCCTTAAGGTTCCCTGAAAGATCCCTGCAGCTCCCTCGGGATTCCTGCTGTAATTCCCAAGGATCCCTCAGGATTCCTGAGGTTTTCCTGCGGATTTTCGTGGGATCCCACAAGGATTCCCGAGGATTTCTGAGTTGTCCTGAAGATTCCCAAATTCGTTCCTACAGGATTCCTGACGGTTTTCCTTGAAGATTCCCGAACTATTCGTGATGTTCTCAATCGGCCCACCGTTCGGCGGCGCGCGCGAAAGGGGAGGGGTGGGGGGGCTTCTTAGGAGGCTGCGTCTTAAAAAACGCCAGCCCTTCATGTGCAGAGAAGGCCCACGCCGTCTGAGAAACAAGGGTGCTTCTGAGAAGCCTTCTCCCTTCTCCGACCCCCCCCTCTGAGCGCGGCTGACGCGAATCCGTCGCCGCCCCCCAGATGCATCTCAGGAGCCCCGCCGCCGCAGAAGATGCGCTGAAACCCGCCGCCCTGCACGGGGGGGCCTGACGCAACTGGCGTGGCAGAGTACTCCGTTTCATGACGACGCACAGAAGCGCGCTCCAAAAATAATTATTCAGAAAACATGTCCTTGGCTAGCGAGTTTCCGAGCCGTGGCAGATCGTCTTCGGCATGAGGGTGCAACAATCGCTGTTCCGAAGGCTGCCCGCCTTCACCAGGCAACCGGAGGGAGGAGAAATATGTATGAGTCCTGAGAACTCCTGAACAATCCGGGAGTATTCCCAAGGAGTTCTGAACGGTTTCCTTAAGAATCTCTGAGGATTCCCGAGGGTCCCTGAAGATTCCTGCAGGATTCCTGAGGACCCCTAAAGGATTCCGATGGGATTCCTGGCGGTGTCTTAAAAATTCCTTCGGATTCCCGATGGTTTCCTACGAGTTCTTGAAGGCTTCCTTAGAAATCCGGAGGGGGTCCTGAAGGATTCCTGCAGGGGTGCCGAGGATTCCTGTACGGCCTCCTGATGGATTCCAATAGGATTCCGGAGGATTCCTCAAAACCCTGAAGATTCCGAAGGATTCCCGAGGGATTCCTCAGGATCCCTCCTGCGGACTCCTCAAGGGTTCTGAAGGATATCTGAAAAAATCCCAAAAAGATTCCTGCAATATTTTTGTGGGACTTGTGAGGATGCCTGGGGGCGTTAACCCTTATAGATGTGTCCTCGGCGTGGCGCGTGCGCTTTGTGTATGTTGGCATACGTCCCACATGCGTTTCTGAAGCGTTCCGCTGCGTGTTGTTATGAAACTGAGACCGCGCGAGGGAAACCATGAAGTCTT